GTTGACTAAAAATGTAATTTTATTTGATACAAGCCCTTAAATGTAAACTTTTGGTCTTAAGGGACCTAAAGTGTCATTTTTACCAAAAAGATGCCTACTTTGTAAATTTTAGTCCAATGGACCAAAAATGTCAATATTACAAAAAGTGTGCCTTTTATGTCATTTTGGTAAACAATTGAACAAGAACGAACAATACAATGACAAAGGAGTTCAATACGTTAAATTCACTCCTATTGGGCCCGAAAAACACATTACATGGCTATTGGGCCTTAGTGGCCCACTTACATGCTTATTAGGCCTGGAACACATATTTCATGTATAATGGGCCTTAGTGACCCATTTACATGCTTATTGGGCCTATAATATACATTACATGTTGTTTGGGCCTTTGTGGCCCATTTACATGCTTGTTGGGCTTAATAAACTAAAAACATACACGGAAACAATATACAGTGTGCATTTCAATATTCGCGTAAATTCAGTTAAGACTCTTGTGAGACATTTCGTTTGTTCAAACCTATTTAGTGTACAACCATAGCTTGTAGTTATAACGAGAGTCTGCTGGAGGGAAAGCGTGAGTTTGTGTATAGATCTATACGGGGTTGACATCCAACACATGAGCTGTTCGCTACAGTTAGACTAGGCCAGTCTAGGGTGACAAACCTTACCTTAAACAAGTTGACGTCAGAAAAACGTCATGACGGGCAGACCAGTCATTATCAAGTTTGGTTATAACGACTCATAAAGAAATTAACTCGACTGTAAAATTTACAGAATACATAGACGATTCTACAATTACACTTTTATACAAATACCAACTCATGGTCTTTGGCTTTTCCTTTTATTACTACAACACTTTTACGAGCAGAAAATATCGGATTTTCTGGGAAAAACGTAGATTATATGTCACCTTCTAATTATAAGAAAACATCGGATTTTCTGAAATACTTGTTTTGTACATTTTTCAAAACAGGAAACACACATGCATAAATACATGACTCGATACAATACTTTTAACCATTTTACTGAAAATATCGGATTTTATGGTGTTTACACATTTATACAAAGTTTTACATAAAAACATGCTTATGAACTCACCAACATTATATATGTTGACGTTTTCAAAATAACTTGTCATTAAGCAGGTGAGCATCAAGAATATGGGGAATTTGTTGCATTTTGTTGCTATTATAAACCTTTATATTTTGGGATGTAACTTTTGTAAAAAATTACAATGATGTAAACTCATTATTGTTGTATTATTTCTCGTGTGATGATGATGCATGCTTTGTTTAAATTATATTCACTGTGATGATATTACAAGATGAAGTCACCTCAACCCCCGGACGTTTCCGACGTACTCTTTCGTTCGGGGGGTGTGACAGGTTCTCTCATGGGCAACTACCGGTCCTACCTGAACAAATGCCATCATGCCCGAACTCCGACTTCGCTGATGAACTATTCCTGCTACTTAACCATACATCTTCCAATCCATACCCCTGAACTGGATCCACCAAAGGAACCAAAACAATCCACTGAACCACTAAATCTCGCCCAACATAATACGACCCACCGATGACTCTTTACATGCAAAATGACTTATGAAGATTCATAATACATAAATCAGGCAACACGGAGAACTAACCCGAAGGTAATACTTATCACTACCCAACAAGATTCCAGGGCAGATATAACACCGATCGAGAACAATTTAACCATAATATCAATACAGAATTAGGTGTCGAACTACATACCCGAGATTTCTAGTGGCTCGACCTTGACCTCATGAGGAACGATGGGTGTTGGGACATGAGCTCCCTCCACCTCCAAAGCAGGACAACTGGACATGAGATGACATGGCTGGTGACAGTGAAAGCATATCTGATCCTTCTTACAATCCCGTTGCACATTCCCTCTTTCCCCACACTTGAAACACCTGAACTTGTGACAAGTAAATCTGTGAGTTCCCCCACACTTGTCACACACCACATGATTCTCCCGACTTCCATTACATAGGTCAGCAACCTTAGTCTCCTCGTCCTCTACTGAAAGAGCGCTCCTCTTCTTTCCTAGTTGTGTCGACTCAACCAGACCCCCCCAACAGTCATCTCACTAGCAGCACCTCTCACAGTATGCGAAGATGCAGCTTGCTGCTTGAGCCTGGCAATTACCCTACCAGTGATTCGATTCACGACACCAGATAATTCTTCTTGCAAAATCTATAAAAGTTCTACTGAAATCATCTCTCCCATCTGCTTGACGGACCACACCGGCCTATCCTGGCCACTAGCTCCTGATCCTGGTCCAGATCTCGCCTCCAATCGCCTCGTCATCACCATACTGAACATAAACCATGGAGATATCAGAGGAAATGCATATCATACCAGGGGAGCCAATTTCCAAAAAAACCCTAGGGGTTGTGACTTTCTCGCTACGCGTACGGGTTTTGTGCTTTCAGTAGTACGGGCCCATACTACCTTCCACACCTACTCGTATTTGTCTGAGAGGATCATCACAATAACCCTACCAATTACCGCATACTAGCATAATTATACACGCTATCCATACTTCCAACAGGAATACGAAACATAAATTAATTGGCCGGATGACCCCACATAACTCATCTTACCACCAACTGCCACACGACCCTCCATTGGTGCCAGATAACTATCACATGAACACTATCACATACTGCAGAACTTAAACCATCTTAGGCTAAAGGACTCAATCCTACAACAGTTGGAATCAGACAACAGTTGTGCAACAGAACCAAATCCCCCACCCTAAGACCATTTAACCCATGTAGTATGTTACGTAGCGCATTCACTCGATAGTTAGTTCACACACGAAAGAGTCATACAACAATCAATAGGGTACTCTACAAGAGATAAGGAACCAAGTATTAGGAAATTCTATCATAAGATTCCTGAGGATCCCTATCCTATCACTAACATGCTGTTCTAATCGTAACATAACATAATACCAAATAACTATGTGGTAATTTGGGGTCTACTTACTGGCTCCGACTGATCGTACACATCGCATCCTCCTTGATTATTTTGAAAACCATTTGAAAATTGTTTGAATTTTTTTTCCTTAGTTTGATTCTAGATTCACACGAGTGTTCCTCCAATTCACCCAAACCAAGGCTCTAATACCAACTTGTAACATCCCAAACATTTCAACAAATTTTAACTTTTCAAAACAACCCATTCACTCAAGAGGTATTTACAAAAAAACATTGTTTCTAAAACATTATTTAAAATCAGAATCGTTTACAGCATAGTTTTCAAAACATTTTCATTATCATAGTTTCCCAGGAATCTTAAGTTCCAAAAACACGAGGATATGTACTGTCACACCTTCGCATTGCCATAGTCCAATGAAGTACCCGAAACCATAAACCAAAATTGTAAGCACGAAGCTTAGTGAGTTCCCCCAAAATACCAATACATAACAAATGCTATGAAGGAGGATAAAGTTTCCAACTTTATCCTCTGGGAATACTCAAAGGGTCCAAAACCCATCCATAAGTCTAGAAGATGCAAGGACTTAACCAATAAGCACTCAATCCTTAAAGTTGATGCCCAATACTTTCCAGAAGAGGTTCTAGCACTAAAACCATCCCAAAGGTTAGTGCTTTATAGACATGCATGACCAATGTATGTCTTGAACCCATATTAGGTCAATAGTGAAGATTATGAACTAAGCTCAATGCATGACATCAAAACTCAACTATAAGCTAGATCCAATACTCTACAAGGTCACCTTGACCTGGGGATTCATAAAGTTGCAAACTTATGAGATCTAACCCTTCCAAATCTCAAGAATAAGAAGTTAAAGGGACTAAGCCCAAGATCTAGCAACATGGAATGATAAAAATCGGATCTTGGACACTTATAATGGTCCAGAAGAGTGCCAAACTGAAAGATGAGACACTTGCTTGATGGACCTAGCCTTCCTTCTTCCAATTTCTTCCTTCTTTGGCTCCTAAAACATCACACTAGCTCACAAATGAGAGGAAAAGATGATTAGGGTTTCGTTTAGGGCTTAAGGGCTGATGGGGGCTTAGGGTGAACAAACCCTAGCCATCTCATTCCTTTAAATAGGAGCAAAGCCCGGAAGATTAGGGTGTCATTTCCAGCGACCAATACGCCGTGTTTCAGTAGGCAACACGCTGTGTTGCTCTTAAATGCGACCCTCATCTTTTCTTATCCCGACACGCCGTGTAGGTGCCTCCAACATGCCGAGTCCAATCCCCAAAAGGTGATTTATACCCAAAGTTTCTCCTGAAATTCTAAGTGTTACAAGTTCTCACGAGAACTAAGAAGCCAGTCAAGAGACCTCATCATTCTCCTATTAGGCCATCCATTCTAGAACTTGAAGTTGATACTACTACACAGCCCTAGGATGAGTCTTCACATACTAATTCTTCAAAAAAGGGTATAAAGAAAATTCGTCAACCTCAGTTTAACAGACGAGGTGTGCTATTTTGAGACATTTATGTTCCTGTTTCACATGCTTCGGAGAAACGTCGATCCATAGAAATGGTTCGAAAGATTCAGAAGAAGAAAAGACGACTTGAAGACCCACTTGACATAGTCACTATAGAAACAAATCATGGAAATGACAACGAAAGCTCTGATATTCGCATTGATGACTCTGGGCTTGGGTCACCTCGAAGGGATTCTCCTGCCAAGTCGATTTTCGAGGTGACTGGAAATCCTGGTGCAAATATAAATGTATCTATTATGGACAGAAACCCAAATTCGACTGATCCCACATCTACATTCATCCCTAAGAAGACCACGGTCATACCACATGAGGTTTCGTAAACTGGGTCCTATACGGAGGAGGTTCAAACCACATACATGAATGTGAACGTATCTGATATGAACATAAATGTAAAAATGGGTGAAGGGGTGTTGCACAATGAAGATTTTGGTACTTCAACTATTGAAACATCTACTATTCCTATCTCAATCATACTTTCATCTACCATGGAAACTTCAACACTAGACACATCAATTTCGTTACCAACATTCTCCTCGCATATCCCATATTCACTTCCTGTTTCCACCATATCACCAACTTATTCCACCATAATGCATGAACCCATTACTACTCTCTTTTATTCACAATCCATAGAAGTTGAGAGAATAGTTCAAGACGATGAACCAAATGATGATGACATCATGATTTCTTTTGCTGATTTGCAATTCGATCTAGAGGAGTATAATATTCCTGATAACATGATAATGTTAGGTAAACAATTCAAGATCCTCAACAACAAACTCAATTCCCTTTTACTGATCCAAGCACATACTGGGGGTCGAAATGTCATTTTTGGGGTCGAAATTGAGTACATGTTAAAGTCTCAGGAGAATCGTCTTAGAAGTTTGGTGGAAAATATTGAAAAGCAACAAGTTGAAAGGTTGGAAGATCATGCAAATCATTTGAATACGAGATTTAAAATCTTTGTGATGTTGCTATGGAGCGTCATGAACTTTTTGTTGAGCAAGTGAAGACTATGAAAGAGTCTGTTGACCTCAAGATGGCTGAACATAAATCGGAGATGGCTAAAGAGGGTGAGAAGATAGAGAAAAATTATTCCGTCCTACATGGAAAACTCGATATTGTTATTGATGCTATTGCGAAGCTGGGTGAATACAATCCCACTTATTCGACTAAGCTTGATGAGAAGTTAGAGAAGGATTCCCAAGTATTTGAAAAGTTAGAGGAATTCTTAAATAGTATCAAGGAATCCATTTCGAATGCTGCTGTTTCGAATCAATCTTTTGTTTCTCAAGAATTAATCTCTTAGTTGATTTTGTCTATAGAGGCTAATCTCAAAGCGAAACTTGCTCCCATCCTTGAGTTGGTTCTTCCCTTACCAACTAATCCTCCACCTGCAAAGCAAGTGTCACAAGGGGGAGAGAAAGGATATGGAGGTGTTGCATCTTTGAAAGATACAAATAAAGGAGATATTGTTAGGAAGGTGATGTCTACTCAGATAACTACTTCACTTCCAATTTCACTAACAACAACCTCAACAACAACCAAAACAAGACCTATTACGAAAGGAATCTTTATAAGCGAACGTCCTGGAGGTTCTGGTTCGACCTCAACGCCACCTCCTTCTAAAGATGATCAAGGGGAAAAAGGTAAAGGTGTTTTGGTCACTCCTTCAAAAGAAGAAATGAAAGAGCAACAAGCCTTAGAGATCGAAAGACAAAGGCAAATCAATAACATATTGAGGAGAAGGCAAAATGATCCACCAGTCTTGAATAAGGGTGATCCCAACAAGCATTGGTGTTATGAAACTATTGAGGAAATCGTTTCAATTGGGAAGTTTGAGTACTTTCGCAAAGTACCAAAGAAGAGTTATGAGGTTGAGAATTTTGATTTTAATCAACTTGATTTCCCAATAAATCATACGATGTACATATCTTCTCAATACAAGTTAGTCGATCACTTCAATGACAAAGAAGAATACAAAAGACTGAAGATTCGATTTCATGCATTCTTGGGGGAAAGTGAGGAGGAGGTATGGCCATCAGTGAATATCATAAAAGTGATGTCTATTTCGCATGAGAACTTGTTCAAAGGCACACTACAGAATTTTCACTATGCGGTTGTTAGAGGGAATAATGTGGTCTGTGATTTTTCAATTGTTGATTTCCCTTTGATGAACTTAAATGACTTGGTCACTGTGACAAGGATTCTAAACAATGTGAATGTTTCGAACCTGCCAGAAAATAACAAGGATGATTTTCTCACTGGCTTTGATCATATGAAGGTGTTCATTGGTAACTATTATGATTCCCTTGCAATCACTGATATTGAACTAGCTATGTGTTGTTTTGTTTTGAGCACTTTAACACTCCTATGGTGCACATACAACGCTAGATGCTTTGGATCTATGTTTTCTCTAATTATACATGCATTTTTCAATTTTCCAAAGCATACACCCTAACTAGCTTACAATTGGAGCTATATAACATAAAAACTAGTTTAGATGATTACCTCTTACATGTAGGGTGTAGTTCTTGACCTTTGAAAGCTTGAGTACCTCAAGTGTGATGCCTCTAATGTGTTACAAACACCAAATGCAAGAGGAGGCTTCAGAGAATAAGTTACTTAGCACAAAATCAATATCACTTTTCTAGAATCAAAGGGGTCACCGATTTTGGCTCTAGGGATGTGCTTTTATAGTGTGACAAATGCTAGGTTTACATCCATGCAAACCCTAATGCACCATGACCTTTCATATTACTTAGTCTCCATGGGTTAAACCTCCATGGGCTATCTCTTTGGTTTTGCCCATCCTAAATAATGATGGATCATTAGCCCACACTATAAGAATAATTGATTTACATAATCAATCCCCATATATTTAATTAGTCTCTTTTGATCACAAAATTAATTCCAAATTAATTCTTGATCAATACTAATTAAATAATATGATTTCTCAATTAATATATTATACTTATAATATATTAATAAATCATAAATAACCTTATTCTCAAAAGTCTATCCTATCAAATTGCACTGGTGAAGGCAACCCCAAAGAGCATGCTACTATCGGTTCAAGTACATCCTAATTATATTTATGGGCTTAGACACCTAATCCAACAGTCTCCCACGTGGATAAGTCTAGTACGTATAACTGCCAATGCAACTTTAAAATCCGATTAGCAATCGTAGCTCTCAAAAGCCGCTGTCGAACTCTGACTCAGTCAGTGATGCGTCCTTTAGATAAGGGATCATATATTACTCTGTTCTCAAGATATCTATGCGGACAAATACATGGAACATAGTCATACTTATTTTCCTGCAATTTGTTTCCCGATTTCTGATTCGTCTAACATAAAACATAACCGAACACGTCAATTTCGTTCTGACCAGGCCTGACACATAGTCAAAACAGAATCATCGAGGGGCCTAAGATATCGCTTTTATTCCTCTTAGGATAAAAGGAACATATAAACTTCGACATTATATTCTTGTACTAACTACTCATCAAATCGTGCACAACGACACGTTTTATAACATCAAGTTACTGATGCGTTTTCATGCCATCAATGCACAACCAAATCGTAGTCAACAACTCATATATCTAGGTTTGAAGATTATATGATATTATCGTCTCAAAATTACTAGTGATAAATTCCATGAAGTAATTCAGGTGAGCACGGATTGAATCCAATACTCAAATCTTATTTCAGGAGCACTAATGAATAGTGTAGCAAACTTTTGCTATGTCTAACGCCTTAGAGAATCTACAATCCAACTCATGATATTCTAGCCTCATTTCCTACTTCCAAAGTATGATCGACCGTGGATGGTTTGAATAAGCTTATTATTCTGGAAGTCAAAACATGCAAAGTGAAAAAATAGTAAATAATTGACACGAGACAGTAACTTTACTTCTAAATAAAACTCCTTTTATTTAATCATCAAATGTCATTACAATTTAGCTATTACATGTTTCTATTTATCTAAATACTAAAACTAATATTGTCCATTAGCCCAATGCCCCTTGCATGCTGCAAGTGCTTAATCCTAGTCAGTGCCTTCGTAAGGGGATCTGTTGGGTTTTCCTCTGACGATATCCTCTTCACCACGAGGTGTCCTTCTACTTGATGTCTTATGAAATGGTACTTTCTGTCGATATGCCTGGATCTACCATGATCTCTCGGTTCCTTGGTTAAGGCAACCGCCCCTTCATTATCGCAGAAAATATCGACAAGCTCGTTTATGGATGGTATGACTCCAAGGTCTCCGATGAATCAGCTACACTCTCCAACTTGGAACTTTTCCATGTTACTGCACCTACATTCAGGGTAAACAACCAACTCGACTGAGAGCATAAATTATCTCGGTCAGTTTGAAAGTTGGCGTCACTATACCCTGTCACTCTCAAGCCATTACTCCCACCGAGGGTAAGGACCCAGTCCTTAGTCCTCCGCAGGTAGCTAAGAATGTTCTTAACCACAGTCCAATGAGCTTTACCAGGATTCCCTTGATATCTGCTGACCATGCTTAAATCAAATGCCACATCAGGGCGAGTACAAGTCATAGCATACATGATCGAGCCAACTACGGAAGCATATGGTAGTCGACTCATATCCGCTATCTCAGCCTCTGTACTCAGACTCTGAGTCTTACTCAGTTTGGCATTGCCTTGGATAGGTATGTCACCTTTCTTGGAGTTCTCCATGCTGAAAGGCTTCAACACCCTGTCCAAGTAGGTACTTTCACTAAGTCCTATTAGTCTTTTACTCCTGTTTCTCAATATCCTTATCCCTAGGATGTAAGCAGCTTCCCAAAGGTCCTTCATAGCGAAACACTTCCCAAGCCAGGACTTAACCTCCTTCAAGGTTGGGATGTCATTTCCTATGAGTAGTATGTCATCCACATACAACACTAGAAAGCTAACTGTACTCCCACTAGCCTTGACATTCACACAAGACTCATCCTCGCTTCTCGAAAATCCAAACTTTTTGACTTTCTCATCGAAACAAAGATTCCATCTGCGAGTTCCTTGTTTCAAACCATAAATGGATTTTTCAAGCTTACACAATCTATTAAGGTACTTTGCATTGACAAAACCCTATGGATGACTCATGTAAACATCTTCAGCCAACTTTCCATTAAGGAAAGCGGTTTTGACATCCATTTTCCATATTTCATAGTCATAAAATACAGCTATGCCTAGCATAACCCTTATAGATTTAATCTTCGCTACTGGTGAGAAGGTCTCATCATAGTCAACTCCCTGAGTTTGAGTAAAGCCCTTCGCAACCAATCGCGCCTTATGTGTGTTTAGTTTCCCATCCATGTCGGTCTTTTTCTTGAAGATCCATTTGCACCCGACTGTCTTACATCATGGTACATTGTCAACCAAGTTCCAAACTTGATTGTCATACATGGACTGAATCTCGCTGTCAATAGCCTCTTTCCATTTTGCAGACGCGGGGCCTGCCACGGCTTCCTTGTAGTTGGTAGGTTCATCCAGATTTACCAGTGTGCAATCACCGATAAATGTATCACCTTCAGCTGTTATATGAAAACCATATAACGCAGGTGGAACACTAACTCTACTAGAACGCCTCAGAGGTACAGACTCGTTAATTGGTTCAACTGGAGTTTCCTCCTCGGGTTGAGTGCTAGTGTTTGAGGCTCCTTCATCGCTTAACTCTTGAAGCTCTTCAAGGTCAATTTGCCTCCCATTGTCCTCTTGGCATATGAGTTATCTCTCGCGAAAGACTCCTCTCCTCGCAACGAAAACAACATTGTCACTCGGTCTATAGAAGAGGTATCCAAAGGATTTCTGTAGGTAGCCGATAAAAATACATCGCTCACTACGAGGTTCGAACTTGTAGTGAGTCTCGCATCTCACGAAATCCTCGCAACCCCAAACTTTGATGTGGTCTAACGAGGGAACCTTCCCTGTCCACATCTCGTGAGGTGTTTTGGAAACCTTTTTGGTAGGGACTAGATTAAGGATATGGGCGGCAGT